TACTAGGGGCTCCTGGCATCGCTACTAGGGGCAAAGACGCTACTAGGGGCTCCTGGCATCGCTACAAGGACGCTACTAGGGGCTCCTGGCATCGCTACAAGGACGTTACTAGCGGCTCCTGGCATCGCTACTAGGGGCAAGGACGCTACTAGGGGCTCTTGGCAAGGGCTCCTGAGTTGGGTCAAGTCGTTCATCCGATTCAAGATTGGCCGAAGGCCTCCCAACAAGCCGTGCTGACCATTCTGGACTTGGTCTTGCAAATGCCCTGCCAGCAATTCGGCTGCATAGTGAGCAAGAGGAAACAGAGCGCTTGTAGCAATATTGCACGCAATTTTCCCTCCTCTCTCGGTTCTTGTTGCCTTTGGCTCAAGCAGCTTGTTTATTTAGTCGAAAGCTTTAAGAGTGCCAGGCAGCAGGGTTCGATTTGAAGTGGAAGTCCCATGGCGCTGACGCTTCAGCTGATTCAGTTTCTTTTTCTCCTCGGGATGCCAGTTGGTTTGGGACAGTCTTCGCCCACTTTGCGCGGCAGCAACTTGACCCAGGCCAAGGCGGGCAATTTGACCAAGTCAGGATGGGGTAGTGCAACCATTAGCAAGGGTGTGCTCCATGACAAGATCATGGGATACTGGGTAGCTCGTCAGCATTGAGATGAGGTCAAGCATCTTCTTGCAAACGTGATCTGTTATACCGCTCGACGGAGGCCTTTGCATAGTTTGCGCCATCTAGGTCGGACAGTTGGTGGGGAACTTCATGGGTTTACCCTTCGAATTCCAGTACAATGATCAGCCCATGCCCTTGGAGCCCCAGACTTACTATGACCTGGGAAGTGGCCGAGCAGCTGGATTGCGAGTCAACGCCGATGGCCGTGGCCGAATCCCTCAAAGGTTGAACCGCTTGCAAGGCTGAAGGGCTGGAGAGCCAATGCTTTAATACTTTAATGATTTGTCAAACTTATTTGAAGTGCAGTACGTAGGGCGCGGAAAGAGATAGAGAGATAGAGAGGGAGGCACACCCAAAGACTTGTGCGTCCGATTGAGATTCTACATGCATGTCCGCTAGGGCCGCCTCTTAATTGGTTGGCTCTGCGGCTAGTTGGTCCGATAGTCTGTTTCAATTGCAGGTGCGTACACGGATGACGACACGGATATCGAGTTTGTGACACTTCATGCTCTGGAGAATCATGGCCTTGACTTGAACTACAAGCAAATCGCTGGATACTGGAAAAACTATGTCCACATCACCGTGAATGGTGGTGACGCGCTGTGGTTTGCCAACAGGGTGGCTAGGGAGAACATGAATCGAGGTCAATTACCACCGCAGACTGGATCACAGTCGCAGAATCGTCACGCGATTAGACTTGGGCACGGTTTTGAAGCTGGGCCAGCTGTTGCTGCAAAATAAGGATCCTCTTGCAAACGTTTTGGTGTGAAGAAGAGAGATTTTGCATGATTTTGCACACAGGTCCCAGCTTGCCCTGAAACCGCAATTTCTATTCTTGTTTACTGGTGCACGGATGCGCACGGATGTGCACAGGTTACTGGTGGACCATTGATCCGCAGTTGGTGAATGAGCTCTGGAGTGCAGTGTACCCTGGCATGATTGACAAGGCAGTGGAGAGGGCTGAGTGGGGTGCACGCATCACAAGTGACTCTTGGGGAACTCATCCTACTCGCTTTTATGCCGCCCTGTATTCGGGTGCCTTTTTTTCCAGCGACGTCGACAAGTTGTACGAGATCGGCATGTCGAAGGTTCCTGGAGATAGTCCCTTTCATCAGGGCTTGAAGGACATTCGCAGGTGGAAGAACGAGAGCCCGCATGATTGGAAGCCAACTTGGTACAAGATCAAGAACAAGTATGCCCGGTATCCTTCAGATTGTGGAGGTGCAAATGTTTTCACCTGTTGCACTCATTTGCACTCCACTCACGACCTACTTTAAGCATTATTCAGAGCTATGTCACATACTGACATACTGTAACTTGTTTTTGAACACTCGAATTTTGCAGCTACCTGGTTGGCATCCCTATATTTTGGTGTACGATCAGGTATTGTTCTTTTGCGCCAGGCTTCCCTTGGAACTGCGGAGTCTCTTCCATGATCAACGGGCTGATGGGCGCAATGTCATTTTTGTATGGCGAGGGTGACTTCAAGAAGACTGTGGGCGTGGGTATTGCAGCGGGCTTTGATTGTGACAACCAGGCGGCTACTTTGGGGGGAGTCATTGGAGTGATGCACGGAGCGAATGCCATTCCGCATGACCTCACACACCGGATTCTAGGCGAATCAAGCCAAGGCTGTCTTGCAGTTTAACAGCAGGCCAAAGGTAAGAAAATCCACATGCATATCTTGAAACATCACGATGCTTGCTGGTAGATCGAGACTCCTACTTTGCATCTAAGGATTGCTGGCAACAATTGGAATGCGCCCTTCAACAACAAGTACGTGAATGAGCGTCGGCAGCCGTTGCCAAGAACCATGACGAACACGGAAATCGTTGGCAAGGTTGGCGGTGGCGTGTCGTATGCAAGAAGTCAAGTTGCATCGGGCTCACAAGGCTCCTTTCTTGTTACTGCAATTAATGTTATATAGATCATTGCGAAGGCTCTTTGGATTCCACAGATGCAGCTTCTATCCATTTGTCCAGTGCCATCTCTTAGAGCTTTGTTTCCTGGTCCTGACCCCTGCAGATTATGCTTTTGGCTGAGCGTGCCATTGCTCAGCAGGGCGGTCAGGACAGCTTTTGCTCGGGGATTTTGGAACATTTCGGGACTCCAGCCACCCTGGAAGCCTATGATTTTTCACCAAGTCATTTTAGGTGTGTATATATATATATATTAGAATTAGGTATATATATATACATACATATGTTTTAAAGGTTTAGCCTAGGGTAGATTATGGTACTCGTAGGTGGGCACATGCAAAGGCAAAGAGCTCGCGCTTGTACCACCATTGTTGCAGGACTTTGGGAACACACTGCAGGTCCCAGTGTCAGCTTCTCTTCGGTAGATGACCTATGTGGCGGCTTCGTTTTGATGTCTTCATTTTCTCCTGCTCCGGGTGCATCCTGTATGAGCACTCCACTTGCAAGAAACTTGGGGCACTGGCATAAAGCGGGGCGACCCCAATCCGACTGGCACCCCATTCCTATTCTGCAATCTCCTTTCGTGTCGGGTTTGTCAGCACATTGCCGTGGCCGAGTTTCTTCAATTCAATGCATCTTACTGCCGCCACAGCGGTTGGCAGTTTTTTGAGCGAGGGTTACACCTCGATGTTTTGGAGTGATGCTACAAGCTCTCTCTTGGAGAGATGGCATGTTAGCCCATTTGTGCTCCCGATGGTAGGTTGAGGAGTATTTACACGGGCCAGATGCATCACTTGCTCTGAATGCCTAGCATGGACTCTCGACTCAACCGAACAATAGTTTCTTGAGTCGGAGCATGGCTTCCGAGGGGGCTGAAGTACCCCTTTCCTGAGCCATACCCGTTGCATGACGACCGAAGACACTCACATACGCCGAGAAGCTTGAACAATTTGAGCTACATAGATCTGGACAGTACCTCGGATGAGTACCACCTCCTTTGGTTCGGTCCTCTTCACCGCAGAACCTCTTGGATCTCTTGGTCTGTATCAACTGCCGTTTCGCCCCTTTTTCGGTCTTCACCGTGTCGCCGTCCCCATGACCCGGCCGCTGGAAATCCGGCTGCTGAGGCTGGCTCTTGAGACCGGCCGCGATTTGGCCCGCCGTTTGGCCAAGAACGGGAAAGAGGAGCCAGCACGAAAGGCTTTGCAGCAGGCGCCGGTCATGCGGAGTCGTACGACTGAACGGCAAGGGATTACCCGTTTGCGAAGAAGCCAGGCTGCAGCTGTGGCTATGGTGCTCGATGGCCACACGGCTGTGTTTCTGAGACTTCTGAACGGCTCGGGTCAGTTCTATGCTCTCTGATGGGATGGAAGTACCAGTGCTGCACTTGTTTCGTTTTTCCCCTTCCACCAGAGGCAAAAGCAGCATTGAGGAGGCACCTGCTGTTATTTGTTATCCGTCAAAGTGTATCCGTCAAAGAATGATTCCTTAGCGTCAGGTGCTGGCTGAGTGGGGCGAGACAAGGCAACGGCCTGTGCGGATTCTCAGAATTTTTGTGCCATGGCCATGCCGCTTTGTCAAAATTGGGCTAGGCACTAGGGACACTAGGGACCTGACAGAGGGGGAGAGGGAGAGAGGGACTAGAGACTGAAAGAGAGTGCATGCGGAAGTCCCTTCTCCTCACTGTAAGTCCTACGTCAAATTTTGGCTATCAGGTCCATTCTTCTTTTCGTTCCCTAGAACACTCAGCAACAGCCACGAATGGGCTGAATGGGTGCCACTTATGCAGAATTAGCTTGCAGTCATCCCCGTCAGTCCCCCGACTTCAACCATGACAAGATGCTTGTGTGTAGTCAGTGCGTAGTATCGTAGTATGTAGGACCAAATCAGGTCATGCGCGCTAGAGAGAGAGAGAGAGTTAGTTATATATATAGTTAGTTAGATAGATAGATAGATAGTTAGATAGTTAGTTAGTTAGTTAATTATATAGTTAATTGTTATTAGTTAGTTAGTCAGTTAGTTAGTTAGATAGATAGAGATTGAGAGAGGGAGCGATAGATAGGGAGGGAGGGAGGGAGAGAGAGAGAGAGATCGATAGATAGATAGATAGATAGATTAGATGTAGATGTAGATGTAGATGTAGACATAGATATAGATATAGATATAGATATATAGAGAGAGATAGATAGATAGATAGATAGATAGATAGATATAGATATAGATATAGATATAGATATAGATACAGATACAGAGATAGAGATAGAGATAGAGATAGAGATAGAGATAGAGATAGATAGATAGAGATAGAGATAGAGATAGAGGTAGATAGATAGATAGAGAGAGAGAGAGAGAGAGAGACCGAGGGAGGGAGGGAGGGAGGGAGACACTGTAATTTTCTGGGCACTTTCGGCTCAAGATGCGTCTCCATGGCGCCTTGATGCCTGAGCGAGGCCCCAATGGCTGTTGATGATGTGCACGACTCATGTTCTGAACAAAGCAATTGCCATTTGAAGCCTAGGCCCGTGCGATGGCGGGGCTGTCTGCACGAGACTATGGCGGAGGGCTTGCTACGGCAGGCAGAATGAGACGATGTAAACGTCCAAAAGTGTTGTCATTGTGATGCGCCGCCGGCATCCAAATTGCACTGCGCAGGGTGCTCACCAACCTAATTGCTGCTCGAGGTTTTGTACATTGTTGTACCATAATCACCTTCATTGCTCCTTTAAGTGCAGCAGCGGAGCCTGGAGCTCGCTTGCCCTACTGTTCGCAGGCTGGGAGAAGCGTGCCACGCAAGATGTCTCTTTGACGACAGACGACGGCTTCGACGAGGCTGAAAGTGCTAGGTCTGCTGAGTAGTACCTGTGCAACTGCCATCCTGGTGGAGTGCCAGGAAGTGGCTCAAGCTGCTGGCATCACAGACGAGGACTTGTGACACGTGAAGGTCGATGGCCAAAGAGGATTAGATTTCAATTTGATTCAATTTGCATACACTTACTGTATATGTTATGGAAATGTGCATACATACATGTAATATCACTCTCCCAAAGCAACACAGCCGCCAAACAGCTCGGCACGAACACTTCACGACGTGAAATCGTCTAAAGTAGTATAAAGTAGTCACATGAGTTGGGGGATTTGAGACTACCAGTGCCTTAGCTTTCCTGGGAGCCGTCCAAAAGGACACATTCGCCAAGCAAAATAAGCAAGATGCTGACTATGGAGAGTTTGTGCCTGCGGCCATCTGGGGCCAGTTACCAAAAGAGCAGGCTCGTGGTCACGAGGGCTTCATGCGGTCCATATTCTATCCACTTGAGGATTACAAGATCTCCATATCTGACACCCAACTACAAATTTGGGATTGCAGACCACGAGAGATCTGAAGCTTTTGCGTCAGGATCCCAACAAGGAGTTCTTGGACCAACGTGCCAAGGACGTTCGTCCATTCTACACAAACTCTGCGCTGGGCATCAGCACTTCACTTTAGCCTTTTGTTCCGCTTGGAGTCCTAGAACATCGATTCACGCATCCATGTGCTTTCAGGAGGGTCGCGCCAAAGCAAAGGAGTTGGCTGAGTTTGCGAAGCTGCAGCAAAGCCAGAGAAAGGATGCGGCCAACAAAGCAGCTCGGATTCTAGTGTTCACTGTTCACGGTTGGCGTTTTTTGTGCAAAGACTAGGGAAGCGTGCAACCAGACTGGTATCAACAGAGTTTGAGTTTGTGTTTTGTTATGTTGCGTACTTCCAGAGTTCGGGTCCTGGGGTTCAGGGTGGGTTGGCTTCGCTGGTGGCGGAGCGCGCTGCGGCGAAGAACACGAAGCGAGCACCTGAGCTGCGTTGGGCGACGTGCTCCAAGCAGCAAATTGCTTGAGGATGGAAACATCCTGGTGAACATACATTGATGCCCATTTTACTTTGGGATTCTTGTGGCACCTTTGTTCACTTTCCAGGATTTTCCCAAAAACTTTGGACTCATCCCTGCGCTTTTGTTGTGCACACATGGGCATGACGGTGCTGCATCCAAAGCTCAGGAACTCCCAAGCTTCCTTAAGGTTGGTGGATTCTTGGCTGCGCTAGAGACCGATCATCCCTCACTGAGCCACAAGAGCCGGGCAATGGTCACATGAAAACTACCCGGTATCGAATCTTGCCGTCAACACTATCTTGAGTTGTCAAGCAGTCTTGGTCTGTGTACGTCATTTGTTTCTCCGGTCTCAGGGGCGAAGGGCCAGACGTGCCTTGGCTTCAAATCAGACCGCATCCTGCTTGGAATGTTGGTTGCCCACGTTGCCTTGAACTACGGCTACGGTGCTTGTAGTCGTGTAGGTTGCCAGACCCGATGCTTGACGTTGTCCGAGGACTGAGCCTGAAGCGAAACGTCCTAAGACAGAAGAGGCAGGGTCATTGTAACCCGGTGCGAACCACGCATCCAACTTGCCACACGATTGCTGCACGTGGCGCTGCGCGCGGCGTTGACCTCAAAGTCAGCGTTCAAGAGAGGACGTTGGCCGTTTCCAGATGCTCCAAGTTGTTGATAGGATGAATTTGTGAGAGATTCTGTCCCAAAAGCAATGTACAAAAGTCTGGCAACAAGATGCCCAAGTATGCTCAATTCTCATACTATATAGAGTATATATATATATACGTAGAGTGCCCAAGTGTGCTCCTTTTCTCATACAACACAGGCAGCACAGAGTCACAGGATGTGATAGGCAAGGTTCTGCTATTCTTCGACATGCTGTGCCTGTTGGCCTTTTCTTGCTAGTGACTACCACGCACCCAAACACTCATTGGAGAAACTCGAAGGCTTGAAGCCTTCCCCCAACCACAGAGCAACAACCTTGGAAGCACGTCTCACTAGTCATGCAGAGCTGACTTTTTCAAAGACAGAGGGCATACACCTTGAGGGGAGCATGAAGCTGTTTGTTTTCAATACCAAGAGCGCCAAGAGCATGCGATTTCAACTCCAAATCAACAGGCAAAAACAGTAGTGTGGCATGTGAATAGGGGACCATCATCATCATCATCACCATCACCGCCACCACCACCACCACCGCCACCGCCACCGCCACCGCCACCGCCACCGCCACCACCACCACCACCACCACCACCACCACCACCATTGTCATCATTTTAATACATGCCGTATATGTATACGTGTGCTAAGTGTGGCGTGTTTGCTGGACGAAGTGGTGGGACCGGACGTTTTGCTGGCCCATTGGTAGTGCAAATTGCCGTCAAGACAGTCAACAAAGCTTTGAGTTGCTTGGCTGATAGGAGATCCCCAAACCTGCAGATGCAGCTGCAGAGCAGAAAGAATCTGGAGCATCTGGCATAGGAGGCCGGATTTTCATGACGAGCGGCGCAGGCAGATTCAAAATTGTCACACCTGCGGCATGGTTCGTTCGTTCTTGGAACTGTACTTTTTGTGGGATATTCTTTTTCCAGCAATTTTTTCCGGTATATAGTGTTTTGCATTTGCTTCTGCTCCTGCTTTTGCCATTGCTTCACCTTTTGCTTATGCTCTTTTGCTTACTTTTGCTTTTGCTTCTGCTTTTTCTTCTTTTGCTTCTTCCTTTGAAGGGGCCATTCCAATGTACTGTAACATACCTTTTGCGAGACACCCGTGGGTAGGACTCAGAGAAGGAGGAAGGGGCCATTCCAATGCGGCAGGCTTTTGGTGAGCCACCTCAGGGTAGAATTGAGAGAAGGAAGAAGCCAGGCACATGGAGTGTGCCCGCAAGGAACGACTTCACCTGAGTACCCCTTACTCTACCTGAGTCATCCTTCTCATCTCTCCTCACTCCTCTCACCAATAACCGAGCAAGAAAGTCGCTCTCTTGCTCCTTTTCCCTTTTTTTCTGCTGCTACTTCTGCTTGTAAAGCACCCCCGGAAACAATCCAAAACTGTCCGGCAAAAAAAGCAGCGCAACCAAGCAAGCAAGCAAGCAACGCCGAAGAAACCCAAAAGAAGCGAAGCCGGAAGCCAACCCTAAAGAAGTGAAACTCTGAGTCAGGCCCAGAGAAATCCTAAAAGATATAATGCCCTAGGCCAAACCCCAAAAAAACATATAAGTTCCTCTCTCCTGTTTGCTCCTTCTCCTTTGCCTTCTCGTCCTCTCTCCCTCTCCTCTCTCTCCCTCTCCTCTCTCTCCCACTCCCTCTCCCAACTCCTCCGCTTTGCCCCTTCTCCTTTGCACTCTGGTCCTGTCTCCCTGTCGTTGTCCCTGTCCCTCCCTCACTCGCTCCCTCTCCCTCCGTCCATCCCTTTCGCTCTCTTGCTCCTTTCCCTTATGTTTCTGCTTCTCTTTCTGCTTCTAAAGCACTCGCGGAACAATCCCACAAATGGCTGGAAAAGGATCAAACCAAAAAAACCAAGTGTTATTGGTGCATGTGACTGTTTGAGGCTTGGGTGGGTACGAGTCTGACTCAGAGGAGGACTAGCAGTCCTCCAAACCAGCTGTGAATGGCTGGTTGTTAACGAAAAGCGGTCACGCTCGCCTGTTGGCAAGGAAAAGGAGTGCCAGGGCTGCGTTGTTTGAGCACTATTTTTGTGTGGCTCTTGTCACGCTTCTGGCAACCTGATCTCATCAGCAAGGTTGCCGTCTCAAAGACCTCGAAGACGGGTGACATGGAGTCATTGGTGCCCGAGGAGGAGTGAAAGTGGGCCAGCAACCAGTGCCACGAGTCCAATCGAAACCACTGCCACCGAATCTTCCACCTTTTGGCCAGGAGACCAATTGGCTTCAGAGGCAGCGCGCCATGACTGCAGAGATGGGCCATGACTTCAGAGACCATTTGAGTTGGAGTTGTTGGATTTTCACTCAGGAAAGGCAGCAGCCAAACCCACTGTGAAAGCAAAGAAGAGCACGCCTCCAGCTCCAGCTCCAGCATCTCCCGCTCAACCAGCTGAGGTCCTTGCCAAAGTCGGCATGGCTTTGTGATAGTAGCAGGGTATTTTCACTTCAGCTAGACAGAAAAAGAGGTGCCAAGTTCCAAGCCACAAGATTTAAACGCCACCTGAGGAGAGCACTGTGGCAGATGAGCCTGAGATGCAGCAATGGCAGCAGCTGTGGCATATGTTCTGCTGCGGCCCTAAGTCAGAACGTTCATGCCCTGTGACGACAACATGCCACAACCAAGTGCCTGATATCAGGCCACCCAGCGATGCTTTTGGTGCCAGTGGCTCTGGCGGTGGTGTTCTGGCAGCGGCGGGCAAAGACCTGACAATGTGAAAAGCGGTCGTTTGCGGCTGTTTGTTGCAAACTTTGGCATGCGGGGAGAGAAGAGAACAAGCCAGAACAAAGCAACCACTGGGTGAAGCACTGTGTTTGTAAGAATGTTGTTTGAGGGTTATGGAACCAGACCAAATTGGCCGATCACGAAGTACTCCTTTTTATGAGGCTTTGCCTTTGCGAGTAGAAGCAAATTCTGCAAAGAACCCTTGCTGTTTGCCGGCCTTTTGGCGCAACACTTTATTCAAGGGCGTCGAGGCATAGCAAAGCTTGCCTTCACAGGCCCTGAAGGACGTGCCTGGCCCTATTAGTAGAGTCACCTGGGCCCAGTTTTCTCTAGAATCATGAAGCAAGGAATGCTCCGCTGCGACAACAACTGACACAGCTCCAAGAAAGCACACAACATACTTGCCAACAGAGTGCAGGTGCATTGCATATGCCAAGCATACACACACAGTGATTGGACAGTTTGAACCACATTGGCGTGGCCAAAGCGATGCCGCCAGCATATACTCCTGCTCGAGGCAGTCATGAATTCATCAGGCGAGCTGAAATTCGCTTGACTATGACTATGCTTGACTTATTCATGGTGATTTGATCTTCAGCTTGCAAGAGCTTGCACCTCAAAGCTGCTGTACTGAACCCACTGCAGCAGAAGGGTTTCACTCAGAAATGAGGTGTGATCTTGGCACCCTTTCATCCCTTCCATTTTGATGACAGGCTGGTAGAGCGAACAACCAATGCGTTGGTGACCAAAGATGACGGAGCCCTGGAGGAGGTCAAGAAGGCCTTAATCCAGGCAGGATGGCAAAAGCCGATGTGTTCTCTAAACTTGCTTCTTTTCGTCGGGTGAATGGCCCAGACAGTCTAGCAAATCCACAAGAATATGGACTCCGTGAACTTAATATGACCCTTAAGGACCAATGTATGTCCACGCAGACCAAGTGGACTTTCCCAGCCCAGGTGCATCAGCAGTATGACCAAGTTCATGAGGAGTCAGAAGCCAAACAGGCACGACTGAATCGCCTGCGAGAGGAGATACGCACCGCAGACCAGCAATACGTCAACAAAGGCGGGGCAACTGTGCAAGACTTCAAGAATGGGCTTGTTAAGGATCAAGAAGTGAAAGGCTTGGTGGCAAGTGCCACTCCTGTCATTACCTAGTATGCCATGCCTTCACTGCCGGGATGTAGACCGCAGCAATGCAGATTCAGATCGCGGGTGTTGCTTTTTATCTTGCTGAAGTACAGGGCAAGGGAAAGCAGAAGTTTTGAGAAATAGAGGGAGTGGAGAGGGTTAGAAAAGCAGGTCCTTTCCCCAAGTCTGACAGGGGATTGGAGCAAGAAGATGGACGAGACCTGGAACGCACTGTCCTCACAGTTCAACGAGGTGAAGAAGCGAAATCAGGACATGTACAGACTGGGGAACTCGTGTTTCGTGTGTGTCACTGGGGGAACATCCAGGCGGGCCAGGCTGATGCCAAGCTTTGCAAAGTTCATACGGTGTTCCTTGTACAGTGATGCTATCGGTGGCTTTCCCGGCTTATCTTCAAAACATCCGTTCATGCTTTAGCAGTTTGCGTTGTAAAGACTTGTGTGTGCTGCAAGCGCTGACCTGATTAGTCTGATTGCGGAATTGTCTGATTGCGGTTGCATTTTACCTGACAAGTGGTTTGGCAGGACTCCTTGCAGAGCAAGAAAGTTTACCAGCACATGCTGAAGCGCACCCAAAGAGAGCAGGCAATCTTGAAGCAGAAGCTCTTCCAAATGGAGGACCGCTGCTTAATTCTCCTCAACAATGCATTTATGTCTTCGATTGAATGCCCTTCCAAAACCTGTTAGTTCGGCTTGTGCACTTACTCACGCAGTCCTTATTTGACTGCTGCCAGGAACACTTGGATCGGAAAAAGCGAGAACTCCAGCAGAAACGCACAGAAAGTGAACAAGCGAGGCAGATGAGCTACTTGTACTGGCGCACAACGCCAAGTTGAGTGTAGAAGTTATACTGCAGGCCTTGGAGGTAGGCCATGGTCTTATCCTTTTGCTGCGTCTCTAGAATCTAGAAGCCTTATTCATGGACCTTTGTTGATTCCACCTCTCCCCATGATCCTTGACACCCGAACTTGCAGGTGTGCAAGAGTCCAGATTCATCAGACCTTAGAGAACTACAGCGAAGAGGCTGGAACTAACTTTGCTCTGGTTGGGCAAGACTGTAAGACTACTTCCCCTACCGTGTGGGGTCTGAGGCTGCGGAACCAATGTCACATTGTTCAATTCTTTTGGCTAATCTCCTGGGGCGATGGAGAGAGAGGAGAGATTGTTCAATTCTTGCATCAAAACGGAGTGTGCTTGCTTCATTGCGTTCCACAGGCAACCAGGGAGCGTGATGTTTGCAAATCGGCATTGGAGGCCATCAACGGTGGCATGGCGGGAGCTATTGTTGTTCACTCCACTTACCGTTGACATTGAGAACCGATAGAAACGGCCCATATGGCGCACAACCATTCTTCTCGCACCGTGTTACAGCAGCATGTGCACAAAAGCTCGTCCTGCTTGTTTTTTACTTGATTTTGGATACCATGCGGCTGCAATCGTCTCATTCGCCAAGGAGAGTTTGAGAAGCGGAAGGAGGCAAACGGAAGGCGGACATTGGCGGTAGATGTTTGGTGACCAGGTGTGGTGGACAAAAAGGTCTTAAATTGTCATGGCATATCTTCAATACAGGCACATTATATTTGCTCGTTTGCTGAACAAACTTTTGCAAATGATGGATCAGTCTGCCACACTGTCCTTGCTGTTGCGAAGACATTCGCAAATTCAAGCACTCCATCCCCACTTTCTCTGCTTACAGGCGTGCAGACTTTGAAAGCTGGCGGCATGAGGCCAGTGACAACACTGCGAACCCAGCAGAAAGAACCGGGGACGTTGAATCTGAAAGTGCCAGTGGACCAATAGAACCATTCAGAACCATTGGGGACATGAGGACCTACATGTTTGCGTTTTTTGGTGCGCTTGGATTTGGTGTTCCAGATGGATGCGCGGTTTCCAGGTGGCACTGGATGCAGCCAACGAGGCCTTCAACACCTCTGCCGGCCGGCTCCGGAAGCTGTATGCCATTGAGAAGCTCTCGGGGTGGCGAAGCTGCAACTTCCTTTTTTGGTGCCTGTCAGACAGGTCACAGTCTAGCAAGTAGTAACAAGTAGCTATAACAAGTAGCTACTAGTAACAAGGGCATCGCGACCTAGTAACAGGGGCACTACTACTAGGAGCAAGTAGCTACTAGTAACAAGAAGCTGCTCCTCAATCTTTCTACCATTTTTGGCCCAGCGGAGGCTGATTCTGCAACTCCATGTGTTTGAAGCTTAGGAATTTCTTGCAGAAGACGACCTTTGAACAGGTGGAGCGCTCACAAACCACTGAAGACAACTTTCAAAAGATCCGCGACGTCACTGGTTTAGCGGATGTGCCTTGTCTTAAGACATGCGTTCGCATAGATTCTACTCTAATTCTGGGATGGGTGGCGCACTCCCAATTCTCATAGGGCAAACTTCTGGGCCACCAGTTGCGGGCCCTTTGGCCTTTAGGGATTGAGCGGATAGAGCATGTGCAAGCCATCATGGTTGACACCAGACGTCAGCTTCCTCAAAATTCACAAGCTCCTTCGAAATCTGAAGGTGATGGACATTGTGCACAAGTTCTTGAACAGAGATGTTGAACAGGTGTGTCATGGCCTGTTTGCAACCTTAGCACTTGTCGAAAAAGCTGTCCGAACCGAAGGCGCTGAAGGACAATCAATGAACATGACTTTCCGTTTTGTTGATTTTTGTTGCTCGATTGCAACGGCAGGAGCAGCTCAAGAAATCTGTAAAAGAAGCAGAGTTGACCTTGGAGGTGCAATAGCTGGCTTGCATGCAGGGGCAGGGGCTGGTTCCATTTCTGCCAGGCGCTCTTGCACAAGAACGAAAAGCTAAAGAAAGAAATGGAAGGCCTTGCCTGGCCAGTTTTTTGTTGACATCTGGACCGCCTGCTCTTTGTCTTGTCGATGGCGAACGGGACTGGCATCAAAATCTATGATTAACATGATCTTGAATTGAATTGGCAGTGCATCCAGTTGGGCGCATCTTGCTAGCTGTTGATTTGCTTTTGCAGGTCTTCCCGTGAACAGCACAGATGACCCCATGGCCTTGCACAAAGTAACTTGTCACGGAGTCAAATTTGGTCACAGTACCAACCCTCAGAAGGACCGGCATGTTCCTTCAACCCAGGAGCTTGAGCAGGAAGAGCAGAAGCTGAACGAAGCTATTGAAGAACAAGAGGTCGGGACTATTGTTCTTGCTTCAGCGCGTTGGACCATCCACTCACTTGATCCGCCAGGCCTGCCGCGTGCGCTTGCAAAAGATAACTATACAGTCAGAGCACATGAAGCGTTGGGCTGTGGCTTGTTTCGAAGAGCTGGCGCATTTGAGAGAATTCCAGCACAGTCCCGTTGAAAGCTCCAGCTGTTCGCTGCGAATGCTGCAATATGACACCTTGCCCTTGCCGTGGCACATTCAAGGCCCGGATGGGAGGGGTTCTCGCCAAGTTCGAAGAGCCAGCGAAGGTGACCTGGATGAAACCTATGCTGCTGTGCCTTGTTAGCGCTCAAAACATTCGATTGAGGTTGACAAGCCGGAGGACCTGCCGGTCTTTTTCAAGAAGCTCGAGGTTGGGGTAAGGAAGTTCATCAAGAGAGTCTCTGACCAGAGCCTTGGCCTTTTTTGCGTGCAAGTTTTGAGTTGTATGATGAGAAAGGCCAATGCAAGCAACGTGAGAAAGTCCTCTATTACAGACTTTATAATCTCTATAGATGTATGATGAAATACGTGCGTGCATACACACACACACAGAGTACAGCTCAATTTGTATTATGCACTTCGTTTGACATGGGCATATTTGAGGTCCAAATCTGCAGTGCAGTTCAACGCATGGTGAACATTTGAGGATCAATGCTGGGAAAATCAATCGGAAGACCTTCAGAGATTTCGAAAAGGTGGAGAATGAGGCCATTTGCGTAATGTGTGCTCTTTGTGTCCCTGCACCGATTTCTGTCGTTTTCTTCTCACAGGTCAGATTGAATATTGCAATGCGGAATGTTTGAACATTTGGCATTTGCTGAAGGAGCAGAAAAACCTCCTCAACAACCATAGCTTTTTGAAAGACAACTGCAGAGCACAAGCGAGTGATGCTCAAGCTGCTGGCAGCATGGTTGGAATAAACCGTTGCTGTGGCACACGCATATGTAGCCATGATGGCCGCACCACACTACAAACCTGGTCAAGTAAGCATAATACTTTATATAACGAGTTTGGCTGCTTGCGTCCAACAGGACTCACACTTCACCCGTGCCCCCTGAGCAAATACTACGAAGACACTTGACAGCTTGAAGCTGCGAAGCATTTCCCACCAAGGCCGTCCAACTTCAAGACAGGGGGATGGCAATGAGGACGACCCAGCAACAAACTTTGCAGAGGATAGAGAAAAGCGGAAAAATGAGGCGGAGGCCTGCTGCAACATCGCACGAAGCAAAGAGTGCGATGAGAACAGCGAGAGGATGTCTCGAAAGGGTTTACTGGACTTGACATTGGCATTGTGCGCCAGGCAAGGGTGCGTGCGAGAAAGCGCGATGGAAATTGAGCGGAGCATAGCGGCCACATTCTGGGAAGTGGCAGGTCAGTCACGTGACGTGCTATGGGTATTTTTCTATCAGCTTCATTGATTGCAGTGTTGTATGCTTGGTGGAGTTCCTATCAGATCTGTGAACTGCAGATTTAAAGTTTATTGCTTCTCCCTGACGTAGTTTGCACGAAGGGTTTCACCTGACTCGGGCAGCACCTCAGCAGCCGGGATGAAAAGCCTCCATCGGATTGCTTCGTCGGCATTCATAGTTCTTTTGACATCCTCTCAGCCTGAGACGATATCCGATACTTGTTTGCCAAGTGCCAGCGCACACATAATTACAGTAGATTACTGTAGTATAGAGTCACCAAGTAGTACAGATGCAAAAAGGATCAAAGACAGGAGATGGTCGGCGACAGCATCCGCACCAGTTCTGCAGGCGCAGGCGCAGCAGGCCCAGCGCGTCTCCGCGCACACGAAGTCGGTCGACTTGACCACGGAGATCACCTTCCAGGTTTGGAGCGCAAGTTCTCAGAATGTAGCACAGCTATGCAAAGCTCCCACAGCAATGCCAAGCCGAGTGTCAAGCCTGATGACCTCATGCTGGTATAGTCCGGGGTGCCACCTGGTGCTGTCAATGGTTTGTGCCAGGAAGCGAATTGCCAAAATATCCGAATGAGATATGATTAAGTCTGACCAGGGTTGGTTGATGTTGCTTGTGTATTTGAAGTGTGTCTTTTTCTTTCTCTCTCTCTCTCCCTGTATATATATATATACACAGCATATAAATATGGATATGAATATAACAACATTAATATGAAAACTGCGCAGGAATGGATGATGCTCAGCAGGCTTTTGGAGCTTGATGCGGACGAGGACCCTTTGAGTCTTGCATTCTTTAAGAGTCATGACTCACGACCTTTTCATTCGTATTTGCCTGACGGACGTCGAACAAGATGCCATTTGAAGCACAACATTGTTTTTCAGAGAGAAGGGCTGGGCTGGCTGGCAGGCCAAAAGCAGCTTCATTCACTGGGAGAAGATGAAGAGACGTGTCGCACTGGCAAGTTTTGCGGTTGAGTTTCCTGACATTTTTGTCAGCCTTGCGAATGCATAGTTATTGTAGTGTTTGTGCAGTGCATACCCCCAACTGGCAAACATAGAGTCTCACTGTTCCTGCTTGTCAGTCACATAAGCTTACTGTACATCAACAGGTCATTCGTGCTGAGGGTCAAAATCAGCAAAGACCTCAGCTGATCTCGTGAATGAGGTGCACATGATGTGAATTATTGTCACAGTAAATCGAAATTCTTTGTAACAACCCGCATCCCATAAACCTTGTCGGCCTTGAAACCTTGACGCAGCACCCAGGTACTTGCCTGACAAGCGACCCACCTTCGTGAGGGCCCACAGCTTGTGGCGAACTGTGCTAGTAACTGTGCTGAAAGAACGCTGATCATTCTGTCGCTGAGAATGACGTACTGTATATATATATATAACCTATATATAAGTTAATAAATAGATTTTAAAGAAACCATATCTTGCAGCGACTGGTTCCCTCTCTTTAGGGAACACGACGTTGCCGAACAGATCTTGCGTGGGCAGAAGAAGAACATTGAAGCCGCCAGTGTATTTTGGATCGTAGCTGAGACAAACAATGTATACATAAAAATATGTACAGCTTGAATGTATTATATATATAAATATTTATACACATATTAGTTGGAAGTTGGAAGTCGAACTTTTACAACATCGGGTCGTTTACTCATCCATTCATCCTTCCTTCTGCCCTTCCATCCTTCCGTCCTTCCGTCTCTCTCCATGCGCAATGCCTCCATCCGTGCTTCCGTTTGCACGTCCTTGAGTCCGTTTGTTTGTTTGTTTGTTTCTTCTCTTTTCTGTTCTGTTCTGTTTTGTTCTATTCTGTTCTGTCTGTCTGTTTGTTTGTTTGTTAGCCAGTCAATGTAATGTCTTTGATGTTCTTTGTATATAATTGTGTATTTTTTAGAGCGGGGTGGGTGCTACACACAGGCTTGTGTTGTCTTTGCCTACGTGCATATCTTTCATGCATCTACATTCTACATAATTCGATTGTGCGTACCAATTCTATAGTCTCCTCCGTGCCTCAATTCACACGTGTCCTGTATTTCCTATCAGAACAAATTGGGAGCCACAGCCAATCTCATGTTTGCACGTCATTTGGCACGCCCACCAGGAAGAGATGGAGGCAGACATGGGCCATGGGCTCAGCACGTCAGGTTCCTTTTTGTTAAGCCTATGTAGAATACAGAAAACGACATAGTAACAAGTGCCTTACTAGTAGTAACAAGAAGCTACTAGTAACAAGTGCATCGCTACTAGTAACAAGTGCCTTACTAGTAGTAAGAAGAAGCTACTAGTAACAAGAGCATCGCTACTAGTAACAAGGGCCTTACTAGTAGTAACAAGAAGCTACTAGTAACAAGTGCATCGCTACTAGTAACAAGGGCCTTACTA